AGACAAAGTGCTAGTCAATAGGCCTTTTATTTTAAGAACTACCTTCCCTTTGTAACTTGATTTGTGCCACTATTAGAACCTCTACTTGGAATATTGTTGCTTTTTAATTTTTTGACTCATGTACTTTTAGCTTGTTAAATTTGTGTCTTCTAGGCTGCAGCAGTTCCATGATACATCTTTAAGGATAACAGTGCACCTAAATTCCAAAATCAATCTCCATAATAATCTATGTGTTTCCTATTGCCAAAGGGGCCCTTTAGAGTAGTGAGAGAAATCTTCACCTGAAATCTACAGCATCCCTTTTCAGCAGGAAGTAGCTAAAAGAATATCAAATATATTGGCTGAAAATTGGTAGATATTCAACGAGAATACAAAGATGACTGGACTTTTGGGCCTAATGTCTCTTCTGTGCTTTTATGCCCATGGTTGCAGTCACGGTGTCCATTTACCTCATTAAGTTTATTCTCCACCTTTGTAAACATGATGTACCTTTCCTAGGATTGGCCCCTACTGACAACATGCTCAGTGTATATGAGAAAAAAATTTACCAGTCTTGTCTCAATGCAGGGCCATGACTGTGTTTGCTCCAAGACAGATTAGTTTGTTGTTTTAGCACTCCATGGGATAGTTAATGGGTATTTTCCCCCCAATACCACAATTCGAAGATATCAATTTTTAGGTATTCCTTACTCATTGTTCAATTTTCACAAATATATGAAAAAATTGAAAATATCATAGCTAAGATGAGTTGCCATTTGTCTTTAAATAATCTTAAACTTGTTTATATGCTTTTAGCACTTTAAAGAGATCCTTGTAAGCTGCTTTTCTCAATAAAACAGATCTTTGGTCTCTTGTAAAAAAAAAAAAAGAATATGCCGCCCCCTTTTCCTTATGAATCAGAGTGAAGTCTCTCTCAGGGAGGAGTGATAGGGAATGGCAAAGGACACACTGGCAAAGGAGATTAATCAGAACTGGCTTTGACAAGCACTGTGGCAATGGGACAATTAAAACAGACTTGCAAA